ATTTGAAGGCCTGACACTAAGCCAGTCTAATGACAAATATCCTCACTCTGCTCTAGGTTTGTATCTGACATTGATGGATCATGATGAACTGTCCTGACAGGTTTCCCACTCAGGGTCCGGCCAGACAAAGCTCCACAGTTCTACATGTTCTCAGCACACAATGGACAACACTCAGCTGGATCTCACCCTTTTCTGCCCATCTATAACCCTTTGACCCATTAGGCCACACCTAATTTAATTTCTTGGTTAACGGTATTTTTCTAACAAAAATAATGGAGCGGGACGGGACGAAAAAAAAAATAAAAATAAAAACAGACCTAGGCATCCTATTATGGCCCAAAATGGTACGATAGGAGCCATGAAGTCAACATACCAGGCTGGTTCAAAATTTAAACAATGAATTTTGAACTTTTAATGATACCATTGCATTGAAAGATGGAATAACTGTAACAACTAGGATGAAAAGGACTGTTTTCAGCTGTTCAGGGCAAAATATGAGCATTTTGCAGTTGATTCTGGATTTTTATTTTTATTTGCAAATCAGAAAAAAATGAAGCGGCGAATCCGTTAACCAAGAAATTAAATTGGTGTGGCCTAAGGAATTAAAACTAGTTCTAGCCTGGGGTCCTTCATTTTGGGACTTTCTGTTAGTTAGTTAGGTTATATTTATTTATTTATGACAACTTTCCACATGCTAAAAGATATGGTGGTACAGGTTGTGCAAGAACACATTTTCAAGGTCACCATACCGAAAAAAAAACATGCATAAAATACTGATCCATTACATTGTACATATTCAATATAGATACATGTACACAAAACCAAAAGGCATTGATTGAAATAAGGCCATACCAATTTAATTTGTTGGTTCTCGGATTTTTTCAGAAAAAAATATGAAGCGACAGGGCGAAACAAATAAAAACAGGTCTAGGCATCATATAGCCCCAAATACTACGATAGGAGCCATGAAGTCAATACAAAAGGCTGGATTAATTTTTAAGCAACGAATTTTGAACTTTTAATCAAACCACTGCATTGATACATTGAAAAACTGCAACAACTAGGAAGAAAAGGACTATCCTCAACTGGTTGGAGCAAAATATGAGCATTTTTTTAGTTTATACAGAACCAGATCTTTTTTTTTTTGCAAATCAGAAAAAAATGAAGAGGCGAATCCGAGAACCAACAAATTAAATTGGTGTTGCCTACAAAAAAAACATGCATAAAATACTGATCTATTACATATTCAATAGATATATGTACATACTGAATCAGAAAACATATATTGAAATAAGCATAGAAGTCTCAACTTAGTGAATCAACAAAAGAGGGTTATATCTTGGTCGGGGCGTATCCCCCGTCTTGTGGGTAGGCTGGATCAGACAGTGGAGGGTACGGGCCCGCAGTAGGGTATGCTGGAGGGGGGTACTGCCCGGCTGGAGGGGGGTACTGTCCACCTGGAGGGGGGTACTGTCCACCTGGAGGGGGGTACTGCCCGGCTGGTTGAGCTACAGGGACCATCTGTTGACCTGAAAACATTGAGTGATAGTCTTGTTAGTTTGGTAGTGGCCGAAAGCGAAGGTCAAGTTCGAAAATGGTTCACCTGGCGTTTTCAAACGGTACTGCAGCGGATTTTTTATGCATTTGTATGTGTTCAGCAGAACTCGAGAAGCTGTGAATGGATCTTCATGATATTTGGTAGGTGAGTTGCTGTTTTGAAACGAAGGTCAAGTTCGAAAATGATTCACCTGGCATTTTCAAACGGTACTGCAGCGGACTTTTTATGCATTTGTATTTGTTCAGCAGAACTCGAGAAGCTGTGAATAGATCTTCATGATACTTGGTAGGTGAGTTGCTGTTTTGAAAACGAAGGTCAAGTTTGAAAATGGTTCACCTGGCGTGTTCAAACGGTACTGCAGCAGACTTTTTATGCATTTGTATGTGTTCAGCAGAAGTTGACAAGCTGTGAATGGATCTTTATGATATTTGGTAGGTGAGTTGCTGTTTTGAAAACGAAGGTTAAGTTGGAAAATGGTTCACCTGGCGTTTTCAAACGGTACTGCACTGGACTTTTCATGCATTTGTTTTTACATGTGTACAGCAAAATTCAAGAAGCTCTGAATGGGTCTTTTATGATATTGGTAGGTGAGATGCAGTTGTGAAAAAGAAGGTCAAGTTCGAGAATGATTCACCTGGCGTTTTAGATGTGTCAGTTAATGTCAGGAAATGTTAACATGATTTTTACCTCGTCCTCTCGGGTTCGTCTGCTGTTTGCCCAGGTGGTAGCAGCAGCACACACAGATTACGATGATGATGATCAAACCGACTATAGCAGCGACCACGATGCCGATGATGGCACCGATGCTAGAAAATATTTTTAAACATGTAAAAGGAGTACATAGTCCCACAATCGCATCGTCTTTATGTTATTGTTATATGCTCCTATACATGTATATCCTAAATTATACATTATTATCATTTATCATCTATGTTACATTTGATCTGATTTCTGTATATGACCAGTACTATTTAATTTCCTGTATTTATTATATATTATGTTAAGTTATAATTTATGTTACATCTGATTCTCTGTACCTTTTGATTTGTTCTGATTTTGTATTTTGTCGGTGCCTTATAAGCCCATATGGGGTGGGCGGCATATTGATCGCAATGGCACGATAATAAACAGTCATTCATTCATTCATTCATTCATTCATTCATTCATTCATTCATTCATTCATATACAATTTGCTCGGCTGTCTTTGTTACACCCTACTTAAACCGAGAATTAAGTTAGTTTGGAAGTTTATTTGTTTATTGGATTTTCCACAAAGCGAAAGGGAGGTGCATACGCCCCTTTACAAGTAGTTGCCCTCCCCCATACATTTTTTTAATTGTTGCCCTTTGACAGTGGTCAACGTAACGAAAATATTCAAAGATGACTCTGTTACCATGCCGGAACGTGGATAGCAGATAGATGTGAAGAGAGGAGACAAGACAAGATTATTACAATCGCATTAGATTTGGAGTCTGCAGAGGATGTCACCCATAAAAGTTACCAAGGACACTAGAAAGGGAACAATTGCAAAGCAAATGCATAATGTTTACCTTCGCATCAGTGGTCTTCTCTGTTAATTCTTACGCAAACACATTAACATATTTGGTGACAGGAGTCTAAATCCCTCCTACCATAAAATTGCAACATGATGAAACCCAACACTAGTCACATGTGAGCCATGGTGAGAGATGGTCTGGTTCAGGTCATTGACCAGGTGAAAGTTCAGTGTTTGGAGAAGAAGAGGAAGAAGAAACAGAGCAAAAACAATATGTTTTCCTCCGGTAAGGCTACACCAATTTGATTTCTTGGTTAACGGATTCGCCAGCTTCATTTTTTTCAGATTTTCAAAAAAAGATCAGAATCAACTGCAAATTAGAATGCTCATATTTTGCCCTGAACATTTGAAAACAGTCCTTTTCTTCCTAGTTGTTACAGTTATTCCATCTTTCAATGTAGTAGTATCATTAAAAGTTCAAAATTCATTGTTTAAATTTTGAACCAGCCTGGTGTGTTGACTTCATGGCTTCTGCCGTACCATTTTGGGCCATAATAGGATGCCTAGGCCTGTTTTTATTTTTTTTCGCCCGCCCGCTCCATTATTTTTCTAGAAAAATCCGTTAACCAAGAAATTATATTGATGTGGCCTAAACATATAAAGTAAACAAAAATACCCGAGTTGAATCGCCTTGCCGATGTGGTCGCCCCAGCGGCCGGTACAAGCTGAGGTGTCTTCAGACTCCCAGCAGTTGTCACAACAGTCCCCGTCACAGCAGTAGATCTCGTCATGGTCGTCAAGCAACGTTCGTGGGCAGGAGAAGGTAGTGAGGCCCCCTAGCGCCCGACACTGCTCTCCAGCAACGGCTGTACCGTGAGCAATGAATGAAATACTCATGCAGTAAACATTTCATACAAAACTAGAAAGGTAACATTTGCAAGGCAAATGCATAATGTTTACCTTCGCATATGTCTGCTCTGTTAATTCTTACTCAAATACATTCATATACTACTATATGGTCAGGCAGGAGTCTAAATCCCTCCTGCTATGAAATTGCAACATGATGTAACCCAACACTAATTACCATGGCAACAGACAGAACATTGGTTCAGGTCAGAGGTCACTGTTTGGAGAAGAAGAAGAAGAGAAAGAAGAAATTAAGAAAAAACAATGTTTTCCTTCGGTAATCATGCATGACTACTAAGGAATTTTCTTCGCCTTTTCCCCTACATTGTATTATGCATTTAAAGTTGCATTATGTAACATTAGGACGATACAAAAAGTAAATTTCTTTACAAAGTACTAAGTTGAATCAACCCTACGGCTCCATTGGAAATAAGTGCCATTCGGGAAGTGGAGGTCACGTACAAAATTTGGCGCCTTACAAGTGTTTAAAACTGGAAACACAGCTGTCAGTTTCTTTTACATTCTGGTATTTTGTGGTGGCACCACGAACTGACTGAGCCTCGTCTGGGCTGATTTAAAGCCAACAATAGATGTCAGAAATGTGAGATAAATGCACACATATGTTGAAAAGTTGATGTCCGGACGTAAATTCCAATCACATATTTCTTAATAAAATATTTACATTTTTGGTACAAAAATGTTACATTTTGCCCCTTTAAACCGAAGCTCTCACAGAAATAGAAAGGAGAGAGAGAGAGAAAGCAAAAGAGAAACAAAGGGGAGAGCATATATAGGCCTGGGACAAACACAAAAAACACACAGTCACACATAGAGACTGTATGTAAACACAAAGGATGGTCAACAGTTAGGGAAACATTAATGCTTAGGGATATCAATAAATTTGAAAATATACATGTATGATGTACATCACTACATGTATTACTGACTAACAGGCTATCTCCATACTCTACCTTGTACAATCCTTAATTGTTGATTTGTTCTAAGCAGGATACTACTACATTTGTATCTAATATTAATAACATCACATGTAATGCTCCTATTTCATAGATATATGCAAACATGAAATAGTGATACATGTATATCAACCATTTCGAATTCTCTTCACTCTTAGAGTGCCTTTGTAAGTTCACACATTGTTTGTCAACGGCGAAGTTGCGTCTACATGTTGATGTCCAGACTAAGTATGATGTACAAAATGACTAATAAACTGGTGGAAGTCCCAACTACTAAGTACCTAATACCAGCACAGAAGAGAACAAGAAATAGCCATGCCTTCAAGTACCAGAGTTATCAACCAAGGATTCAGATGCTCAAGAATTCATTCTTTCCTAGAAGTATCGCAGAGTGGAACTCGCTGTCACCAAGTAAAGTATAGGGGCATTATCATTAGATAGCTTTAAACGATGTCTAGAGTTAGAAGTTCAAGGGTTAGGTGTAACAAGTCGATCGGTGTAGTATAGCCAGCTGCCGCCGCGCCGCGTGCCTGCAAAGCTGGTGTGTTACGCCGAAAGGCGGTTATACCGGCTATACTGATACAGATACAGATTACCTTTCATGAGGAAAATCCCCACCAAAAACGCTGTGACTCTCCACATCTTTAGTGTTGTTTGGCTTCTCCTCTTGTCGTAAACAGAAAACACTAGTGACACTACCAGCCTCCCGATTATACTGACAGAAAGACACTCTCACAATGAGAAAGGGTATTTAACTGTAAACGCGGTCGACGCCCTGGATCCCTTTGTTGTTGTGCAATTCTCTGCGAAAAGAGGGAAGAATGCCCCCTTTATAAATTATGCACCACACAGCGTGACGTGACTATCTCTTGGTGGCGCCACCAGAAATACATCTTCTATTCTGGCATTATCGGAGTTCCTTGTTACCTCCATAAAATTTAAAAATGGTGGTATTGTTTTTGGCCCGTCTGTGTGTGTGTGTGTGTGTCTGTGTGTGTGTGTGTGTGTGTTTCCGAACATTTGTAGTCAGCATAACTTCATAACGCCTTTATGGATTGTGATGATATTTGGTACCTTGGTAGGTCTTAGGAAGACAATTGTCAAGGTCAAATATGGGCCTCCTGGTGGCCGACCTTGGTACTGAAGCAGAATTTCCTTCTTTTTTGTTTCTTTTGAACATTCAGTTCATCATTCTTTTCATTATTTCAAAAATTTGTATGGCATGTATTGTTATAATATGTTATGTATGTATTTCTTGTACGATACCCACATATATATGTATATAAGAATGGGCCTTTAATTCAGATCTCTCAGAAGTACGGACTAGTCAGACGATAACATATGATTTCAGCCATGTTACACTTAGACTGTATGAATAATAGAAGAGGTAGTCTGGGCCGGCTTATGTATTTCTTTTACGTTTGATTCGAATGAACGCACACACTATTCAGTATATCATTGAGGGCTATTATCATATTCTAAATAATATCACGAATAGACACGTGTCAGTCGTTCTGAATAGGGCGCAAAACGGTGAGCTTAGGCCACAGCAAGTAATTTTTATGGATGACATCAGCGCGCACAATTTTGAAAAAAAAAAAACATTTTGTTGCCCTCTCAGAGTGGTCAACATTTCGAAAATGAGAAAATAATTCTGTTGCCATGTGGAACTTGAATGACTGATAGATATCAAGAGGGGAGACAAGACAATGTTGTATTCTATTGTTGTAGTTCACACCATGAAAAATGGAGGTATTGTTTTTGAAAGACAAAGGTCAAGGTCAAAAATGGGCCTCCTGGTGGATGACCTTGGTACTGCAGCAGAACTTCCGGTTTTGTATCTTTTGTTCTGAACATGCTATGGTCATTTGCATGATCAATGAAGACATGATGAAATGAAACATTACCAAAGGATAAAAATTTTACACGCAAAATATTGTAATTTGAGTTTAGAAAACAACACATGAATAGATTATGGTAATTACGACCTTATTTCCATAACCAATGAGACTAATCCCCCCCCCACAAAAAAAATACAAAAGTTCTGCATATTTCATGGAGGAATGACATCTCCGAACGAATTCTTATTACCTCCATGAAAAATGGAGGTATTGTTTTTGGCGCGTCTGTCTGTCTGTGTGTGTGTTTGTGTGTTTGTGTGTGTGTGTGTGTGTGTGTGTGTGTGTGTGTGTTGTTGTTCGTTCGCTATAGTTTGTAGTCAGCTAA